GCGCCTGCAGCTCGCCACCCTCGAGGCTGGGACCGGGGCGGCGGCGGGCCCCGAGTGAGCCGGAGGTGAGCCCCAGAGGGGAGGCGGCCTCGGGAGGCTGCCGATGGGGCGGGGGCAGAGTGGAGAAGAGTGACTGGAGGGGCTGGCAGAGGCCGGGGAAGAGGAGATGGGAGGTGGATGGCAGAGCGAGGGGAGAGCGGTGGGGAACCTGGACTGACAGTGAGGGGAGACACAGCAGCAGTGGCAACTGGAAACCGGGCCCCAGGGCGGGGACACACAAGACAGCGGCCAGCGGCCTGCGGGGAAGACAATAGACTGCCCTGGAGAGCAGCCGGTCAGGCGCTGAGTCAGCTGGCCCCTGCCAGCAGTCCTGCCCCCAGGAAACTTCCGGGCTGTCCTGCGTCCAACCCCGCTGTTCTCTCGGGGTCTCCCCTTGTCTGAGTTCCCCAGACACTGCTGGTGCCCCACGTGTGGTTTCTGTGGGTGCTGCTGCCATCTCCCCCCACTCCACAGGGACCCCTGGGCAAGGTCTCCATCTCTGGTGCCTTTGTTCTCAGCAGAGAGAGGGCTCAGGCTGCTAGTGGGGAAGAGGAGTGGGTGGGTGGACGGGTGGGTGGACGGGTGGCTGGGAGCACAGGCAGATGGCTGGACTTGTTGAAAGATGAGTAGGTGAATAGAGGGTGGAAGAATTGCTGGTTGAGTGGACAGACGCATGGCCAGGGTACATGGGGTGCTGGCTTGGGTGTTTGGGGTCAGTGTGTGGGGTGAGGGCAGGAGGGCAGGCGGATGGAGAGGGCAGAGTCTGGTTGTCCAGGTCAGAGGGTGGACGGCCGTGTGGCGAGTGGGCTGGCAGGTGGCGAGAGGGCCAGCTGCCGGGTGCGTGAACAGGTGGCCCAGGATGGAGCGTGATGGTGTCGGTCTCGCCCGGGCCGTGAAGCCGGGCTGTCCCGGGATGGCGGGTCTCCGTGCGGGATGCACTCCTGCCCCGAGCCGAGCAGAGCAAGCCCACTGGGACCGCTCCCACGCGAGCTGGGGGTGGAGGCCCCGGCCCCGGCCCGCCCGTGGTCCAGGCAGGCCCGGCCCCTGCCAGGCTGGACACCGGGGAGCCCGATTAACGGCTCTGCTCGCCCTGCGACGGTCGGCCTGGTGTCAAGTGTTCCGGGAAACCTTCAGGCCCAGGCTACCTGGGGGCAGGACTTCGCGCTGGGGCGGGGCTTCCGCTGAGCAGCTGCCTGACCTGGCCTGCGCCCCTCGGCCCTCCCCTCGGCCCTCAGTGGGGCTTGTCCATGCTGGGAGCGCACACAGGGAGGACAGAGAACTTGACTCTGGCGCGGGGGCGGTGGGTCCTGGCCCTGGCTCCCAGGTGGAGGAGCCCTCCCCGCGTCTCGCTCCACGCCTGTCTCGGGGCCCCTGGGTCCCCAGCCTGTCTGTCTGCATCTTGCCCCCTCCAGCACCCCAGGACTCCAGTGAGCCCACGTGCAGCCCTGCAGAGGAGATTTGGGGTGGACGAGCATGCAAGTGGGTGTGCTGGGGCCGGAGCCGGAGCAAAGGGCCCCTTCCCCTGCGCCCTCAGCTCAGGGAGGGGCCTGAGCCTCACTGACCCCCCTTCCCTCCCGCAGACGAACCCACGGCCCCATCCGTCAGGACCTGACCCAGACGTGCAGCTGCCGCAGCCTTCCCTGGCCGCCCTCCCTGCCCCCCATAAACGGCTCCGCTCACCACCGTTCGTGTCTGTCTGCAGAGGGCTGGTGCTGGGCAGTGGGGTGGGGGGGCTGGGCACCGTGGGCCAGGCCAGCACCCCGCAGGCAGCTGCTCCCCCAGGGACCTGGGAGTGCCTGTCCTGTCGGCCCTCACAGAGGGGTGGGCCCCCCGCTGCTTCCCCCACCAGCCCAGCCAGGCGGCAGCTGGAGGCGGGATTAGCCTGCCCAGAGTAGAGCGTGGGGAGGCCGGCATGTGGGTCTCAATGCTGACTGCCCGCCCCGCGGAGTGTCCCCTGGGGCCTGAGGGGGAGCTGCGGTCACCTGCAGGGGCCCACTGCCGCAGGGCCCCCACGTGGCTTGGGAGCCACAGGGGCTGTGCCAGTGCACGGGGAGGGGACCCCGAGAGCAGCCTGCAGACACTGGCCAGGGTGCACGACCAAAGCCCCTCTGACCCCGTACCCCCACCAGCAGCACGTCGCCCTAAACTCCCTCTCTCGACCCTCTCAGCCCAGACCTGCCCACCCCGTCAGGCCTGGCTGCCCCACTCCCGCCCCAGCTCACACCCCCACCTGCATCACCATCCAGCTGCCCCTCCCCGGGACCCCAGTGGGACGCCACGCTCTCAGGGAAGGGGTCACTCTTCCACATGCTGTAACTGTATTGAGGGGGCCCACCGGGGTGCCCCTAATCCTCGTCCCCCTCTGTTTCCTCGCCCCCCTCTGTCCCCTCCCCCTCGGTGGTCCCCGAGGCGTCCAGGGGCGCATCCGTGGCCAGGGAGGTGGGCACGCTGGCCATGGACGTCCTCTTCTCGCTCGGGGTCCGGTCCTTGGACAGCAGAGAGACCGTCTTGGAGAGGTCGCACTTTCCCCGCAGGAGCCAGGGCAGGCGCAGCAGGTCCCGGCGCTTGGCCCACCTGTGGGGAGCCGGCTCAGCCTCGC